CCATCTCTCCCACTGTCTTAAGGCTCCTCACTGTACCCCCATTTCCTCCCATGGCTTCAGGACTCCCTCATTTGCCTCCCATGATCTTGCCGATCTTCACTGCACCCTCAAATCCCCCATGACTTCAGAGCTCCCTTATTCATCCCCCCATAGTCTCAGGGCTCTTCACTGCACCCCTTTTTCCCCCATGGTCTCAGGGTTCCCTCATTCACCCCCCCACAGCCTCAGGGATCCTCATTGCACCCCCATTTCCTCCACAGTCTCAGGGCTTCTTCATTTGCTCCCCATGGTCTCAGGACTCCGCAGCACTCCCCCATCTCCCCCATGGTCTTAGGGCTTCCCAGCAGTTTCTCATGCTGATGGCACCACTGCCTGTACCTTCCCTGGGCAAGGCCCAGCCCAAAGCCCTGGGCAGCTGATGGAGGCAGGAGGAAGGGCAGGACGAGAGCTGTCGATGCTGATGGAACAGGCAAGGGACAGGCAGTAAATCCACAGGACTCCCTGAAGAGGACAGGTCAGAGACAGCAATGGCACCATCATCCCCCAGCTCTGAAAAGATGCAAATGGCACATCCTGCTCCAGCGCACCACCAACAGCCTCAGGGGAGCATGGCAGGTGGGAGCTGGGCCTCTGCACCGGAGTCCTGGGTGACTGCAAGCTGTGCTGGCTGGGGCACATAGGGACACACGCCTGGGTCCGGAGGGCTGCTGCAAGGTGGTATAAGTGTATGCATGAGTGCGAGAGAGGGGAATAAGGTCTTTTTTCCATGAGCCTTGCTTTAAAATACAGACACCATTTCCCAGCACTTTGCAACATGATTGAGGCAATACATGCACAGGGGAGAGGGTTTCAGGGTGCACCCTCAGCTCCTGTCCTCGAGTCCTGCAATGGTGCAGAGTGGCAGCACAGTCACTCCTTGACCAGGAGAGGAAGGAGGGTCTTGAGTGTGCTACTCAGCTTCAGGGGCTGCTCGTAGATCAGATCCACTGGTACTTTCTCCCACATTTTGAACTCTCTATTTTCCCTTTAGCTGATAGCCCACAGTCTGCAGAACAGTTGTACCTAGGAGAGAGGGCACATCTCAGAGGAGCAGTGACAGCATCCCTACCATGGACACCTCTTCCCACAGCAGCTGAGCAGATTTCACTTTGCAGTACTTCTGGCTCTCCCACCAGGTCGTCTTCTCCACCAAGATGAAGAGGCATTTGCCCCTGTACAGCATCCAGCCTGAGGGGCGGCAATCTGGAGGCAGTGGCATGGCTCAAGCACTTGCCTGCCCACAGATGCTCAAGGGGGCTCAGCCTGGTTGGGATCAGCCCCCACATCTCCCCAGGAGCATCATTGCCCATCTCCCCACTCCGCCACAGCCATACTTGTATTCACACAGGCACACAGGCTGCTCACTGTGCTCTCGCTGTTGTTGAGCTTCCCCTGCACCTCCTGCATCTCCTTCTCCAGCACAGCCAACTCCCACATGGTGCACCCCAGCTCAGCATCCTGGCTCCCCAGCTCCAACTGGCTGCCCCCACGTGCTGTCTGTTTCCCCCCCGCCACACTTTCTGTAGCTCTGCTCTTGCCCACGCCACCTCCACCTGCATCTGCTCCAGGTTCTGCTCCTGAATGTTCACCTCCTGCAAGAGGCAGCCCCACTTAGCCATGTGCTTTTGGGAGGCATCCCACAGGCTGCGGGTGACCTGCCAGTCTGGGGACAGGCTGAGTGAGCTGATGCATGGGGGACAGTCCAGGCAGGGAACATGGGACTGTCCCTGCTCGGGGGGTTAGGTCGGCATGGCCCTTGCAAGGGAGAGTGGGAGAAAAGTGTCTGGCTGTGGGCAGAGCCAGTCCCGGGTGTGCCAGTGGGATGGGTAAGGAAGCACTAACAGTGTCAAGGGGAGGGGAGGCAATGGGAGGCAGTGGAAAGTAATGGGAAGGCAATGGGAGGCAATGGGATGGGA